TGTAGCTTTATGCTTAATTCCAAACAAACAAACAAACTAATTGTGATGGTAAAGGCAGTGAATTTTATTATGAATTTGGGGGTTTTCTCTTTGGACTATCTCCCTGGTTTTTGGCTTTGCTAGCCCGCTGAGCTGAAGAAGCGCGCTTTAATTTGGCGTTTTCAAAATTGAAGAGTGCTGCGGGTAACACATACGGGTTGTTATAGAGGCTTCCGACTGGACAAAATTTGGTGATTTTGCATCAACAACCAAGCAAATGTAATGGGGAATTTCAGCCAATGATTATGATCTTTGCGCGCCAGCAATATTAAGCGTGAGGCGCGCATGTACCTGATTCGATTTTATTACTCATCATGATCTCTACCAACTTATCCCCAAATCTGATTATATGCCCAAAGTAGCGCATCGTACGTTTTATATATATATATATATATATGGCTAGAAGAATTTTAAAAAGACAAAGTTGATTGTCGCTGTAGAAAGAGGCGTAGTTTCGTGCAAGTTGCGTGTTGATCGGTACCGCAAGGTCGAGATAGCGGCGTGACAGACGGACAACTTTTCATCTTTATATAGTAGAATATTATTATATTTAACATGGTATTTATGCAGGAAAGGCAGTATACCAAAATACCGTTTTGTTATTATAGTTTACCCAGGACTGATGTAGAATAGGTATAACATACCGAAATACCGTCTAATTGTTAGTTTACACAGGAAAAATGTAAAGAAAGCAATATTTGAAAGTATCGTCCCAGTGTTATAGTTAGCACGGGACTAATGTAGAGAAGACGGTATATTGAAATATCGTCTTATTATTGTATTTAGCATGGCACTAATGCAGAAAGATGGGGTACCGAAATATTCCCCTGTTGTTCTATCTAAGAAAGCAGACAAACATATTCAGAAATACTAAACATTAACCAATTATTTTAACCAGGAAAACAAAATCAGGTAAGTGTCTACTCAAGAGACAATAACTCTTTGTTGTCCGACCATGAAGCACAAGTTTGTTTGGTTACTAAACCTCCTACAAGAAATACCTGCTACCTAACCTTCCTTTTTTCTAGTAAACTATATCACTAAAGGCCTTGTCAAAACGACGGTATGATATTTATATACCAGAAAAGGTGCTTTTGACGTGTAAGTTGTATATACGTGTCACAGACACACAGAACTAATCGCATGTTCTTTCATGTATTTTTATAATTAACTGCCTGAAGCCTTGGCTTTTCACTTAATAAAAGGGTGTATTGACAAGAGCTCCTCACGTGGCTTGATACTTCTAGCGTCCGAAAGCGAGTGGCTTACAAATAATGTACTCGTTCTAATCAAACAAGTCTGTTCTCCGAATCTCTTATTTACAGGGAACAGCTCCGTCTGGCTTAATATAAAAATACTAAAAATCCCAATATAATAACATCAATCATGGGACTCGTGTGTTTAAGAGAGCTTCTCCACCTGTGTTCTTATACAAACATACATGAACCTAACGTATACAGACAAGTTAGACTGTACATATTAGTAGTTTAATATTTTAGTGTGAACAATAAATTTCTGTTTACTTATGTTCTAAAAAAAATAGGTGATTTGGTAGTAAAAATAAAATCAATTTACCAAGCTTCTTTACTAGTTTAGAGAATTATATATATCTTTGGTTCTGTAAATTTTCCAAAATTGTAAGTAATTCCGCAAGCTATAGCTTCTTCACTGTTCTAAAATTGTCCATACGTTTTACTTCATATTAAGCTTCTCGACACCGCTAGGTCTGTCTTTTATTTTTGTTTCTATTATTTTACCACAAACACCACTAATAACATAGCCTGTTTACTGCTCTGGGTCTATTCCTTTCTTTGACTCTGTAGTTTTACTAACCATATAAAATATCCCTCTTGCTATAAATTCCTCACTGCTCTAGAGTTGTCCCTTTCTTTGAATTATGTTGTTTAATTGAAATGTCTGTGGTTCTGTAGTCTTCTATTTTTATTCCAAACTATAGATCCCTCATTAATTTAATATTGTTCATTTATTTTTATTATAGTTATTCTAAAGTGTAAAATATATCCTTCTTTATATTACTTCTTCATTGTTCTATAATTTTTCATTCCTTTTGATCTGTAGTTATATTCCAAATGTAAGAGTAACCCCACTTGCTAAAACTTCTTGATAGCTCTAAAATTGTCCGTTTCTTTGATTTTCAGTGAAGTCTAAAAATACTCTCTACTGAAGAGTCTTCATTGCTTTGGGATTGCCAAGATATTTTGCTCTGTTGTAGTTTTAAACCTGAAAAACATACCCTTAATGCCATAACTTCTCTACAGGTCTAGAATTATCCCTTTCTTTGATTTTCCATTTTCAGTGAAGTCTAAAAATACTCCCTACTGAAGAGTCTTCATTGCTTTGGGATTGCCAAGATATTTTTCTCTGTTGTAGTTTTAAACCTGAAAAACACACCCTTAATGCCATAACTTCTTTACAGGTCTAGAATTATCCCTTTCTTTTATTTTCGATTTTCAGTGAACGGTAAAATCATTCTGCACTGAAGTATCTTCATTAATCTATGAAGAGTTCCTTTGCTTTGCCAAACTTAAAACAAGTGCCATTCATATTATAACCTCTTCAATGTTCTAAAAATTTCCTTTCTTTTAGTTATATAATTTTATTCAAAATTTAATTTTAAAGTCGGTTCAAGACTAATCCTCGAAATTGAAACACAAAATAAAACACACAAAAAACTTCAAAATAAGAATGTACATTGTGGGAATTCGAGTCAGAATGAAAAATACTTCAGAACATTTCTATGATCATTAGCAACTATTGAAACTCTGGAACTCAGTGGCGCTAACTAAGCCTATTACTACTTATCTTATTAATTCGTTGAGTTGAAATTTTAAGATTCCTCGTCAGGTTTTTGAATAATCAATTTGTTATAAGTACGAAAAGCGAAAGAAGCCTTTTGCCATTTATATCTTCATTTGTTTGTTTGTTTTAGAGAAAAACCACATTGGGCTCGCTACTGTATCCACCGCGGGGAATCGAACTCCGGACTTGAGCGTTGTACGTCCGTAAACGTTCCGCTGATCTACCGGGGAAGTTATGTCTTTAAAATCTTCATTGTTATCATTTTTAGCGTCAATTTATGTAATAAAGCAAAAAAAAAATGTTAGATTTTTTCCCCCAGTGATTTTGAGTTTTTTTCTCCACTTCACAACCTTAATTCCAACTAGGTTGGGGTAGGCCGGAATTTTCGTAAGCCAAGAATTTTGACAACCACCTGGATGACCCAGTCAGCAACTGAGCAGTTGTTTTGAGTAATTGGTCTAAAATACATGATTTTTTAATATAAATAAAAAAAAAGTTTGTTTCTATAAAAACATCAAAAAATATAAGAATTTGTGTACATATAAAAACGATATAGAAACATCACCTACATTTTTAAACTTTCAAATATAGGAGTATTTTTTAAGTTTGGTTAGACCTCACTTACCAGATGTAAATTTTCATGTTTTAAATGTAAAAAAAAGAAAGTTTTGAAACTAGCTAGAGTTCGATAGTTTTGAAACTAGCTAGAGTTCAAACTGGATTTAACATTTATGTTTTCTTATCTTTCGTTTCTTTTTAGTGTGCACTGTAATAGGACAAATATTCACGTATGGAGTGTTTGTTTTGTAGTTAAGCACAAAGCTACACAATGGGCTATCTGTGCTCTGACTACCACGGGTATCGAAAGGCGGTTTCTAGCGTTTTAAGTCCGCAGACATGTCGCTGTGCCACTGGGGGGCTCGCGTATGGAACAAACCCCACACCATGAAAGTGCAGTCTGCATCTGATAATGCTACTAGTTTCGTTACCTTACTAAAGGTTATTGTGTTTTCTTTGGTAACTGTCAAAATGTTCTGGTTGATTTTATATATATACGTATATTTTGATTATTTAAGTATCGGTTCGATACAACTAGTTTTTTAAATCTGTAAGATTATCTCGAACTTAGGGGTTGTAAAACTTAGCTGGCAAAACATTAAATCAAACAGCAAATAATCTATTGTGCCAATGATTACAAATATAAAGTTAAATAAAACCAAATAAAAGATATTAATCCAGACATATACATTAAGTTTACGATTATATCCTTATCTGATATCTTGATTATCTGAGTGTATGTTTTTGTTGGAAAGAGCTATTTCATACGCTTCCCAAAAGCAATCGATTTGCGGTAAAATCGCACTACCTGCTTAACGCCAAACAATGTAAAAATGTAGTTATTATACATGTTGTTCCACTGCGAATTTATGCTAGATGTAGTTGTCACACGACTTGCTGATTTTCAAATTCAAAATTGTAGTATAACGTATTCAACTCTCTCTAGCTTAATGCGTTTCCAGAGCGAAAGGTGTTACTATGATATTCTCAGGTAAAACTGAATCCAGGTTATCAACACTGCAAAACAGAAGGTTGGAGAATTTGTTTGCTAAGTCAAAGTCGGCCACAATATTAAATAGACTGGCATAAAAAATAGTGGCATCATCATAGTTCGTTAAGACTGGTAATGATATAAATCGTACCTTTCTTTATCATGCCAGTATGGGTTTCCAGTAAGAATACTGTATATAATAGCAATTCAACATGTTTATGATTGTGTGTCGATGACATTGATACCTTGCGCTCAATATCAGTGGCTATCAGATCGGTTGGAACACCAACTGATGCCAGTCACATACGAAACAAATCTTATGAATGTAGAACGGCTTATTAGCATCAGAAAAGTATCACTACTGAGTAACTAGACCAAATCACGCCTGATTAATGTCTGTCATTGGACTTTAATTAGTATAATATCAAAGTGTGTTGTTGTTTACATCTATATTATTCACACTAATCAAAGGTTCTTTCTGTCGCATAACGATGGTAGCCTTGCGAAGCTGTCCTGTTTCTTTCCGATTTTTACGCTTGTTAATTAATTTATATTATAGTGATGTTTAATATAAAACCTTGTCTATTAACAGAGCCAGAAGAAGTGGGTTTTCAGACCAATGGCTTGGTAATTTAGAAACTCAGCTAGGACTAAAGGAAATGCAAAATCAAGCCAACTATCCTTTCGACCCATACAAAATGTAAGTTATAGAAACTTTCATTCAAACTTGGCATCTCAAAGAGTTTTAGTAATTTATCTACTTAAGAAAAATGCAATAAAAATAGAAGTTATAGAAAGAGGATTGTCCAGCATGACTTTTATGAACTAATGTCTTTTCTAATTACAAATAAAAAGAAACTAAAGGAATATATTGTTATGAAAAAAAGGAAGCCTACAAAAACAACAATTTTGGAATAGAAATACATAAAAAATGTGACTGAAGCTAAAGTGAAACAAGCCAGAAACAACAAGAATATCGTAGGTGTCATTGAGCCTATAACATTGAAGTTACACTAGAAGATGGTTTAAGTTGAAGCTGAGTCATATGGAACTGAAGAACAATACAATTTGAAGTTTAACCATACAAGTCCCTATGTTCGTCGATATCTTATATCATAAAAGTAGATCATATAGGTCCCCATACTCTCGCTGGATGATTGTCTCCTATCTGTTTTTCAGTTACGAGCCGTTCGGACGATGTCTCGAAATTGCTGTCCATTAGTTCAGTTATCCTTCGTGTATCATGATCTTAGAACTTCGTTACGTTTATGCTACGTAACAAAACAACAGTAGGATACTAACGGGACAAACAAACCGTCAAAAGAAATAAATTTAGAAGACTCAAGTTTCACCAATATATCTATGATTTCAGCGGTACTAAAAAGTGTTATTAGTATGTATGAGAACAAGTTAGACTATTGACTTTCTAGAATTCCCATATGGAAAAATATTATGAAACAGAAATAAACAAATATCATTACTTTTTTTTTTACAAATAAATGCTTTCTTCTCTTGAGTGTCGTATCGAACAACATTGTGGAAATACAGTTTCTTTCTTATATGAAGGCCCGGCATGGCCAGATGGTTAGGGTGCTTGACTCGCAATCTGCGGGTTCAAATCCCCACCAAACATGCTCGCCCTTTTAGCCGTGCGGGCGTTATAATGTGACGGTCAATCCCACTATTCGTTGGAAAAAGAGTAGCCCAAGAGTTGGCGGTGGGTGGTGATGACTAGCTGCCTTCCCTCTAGTCTTACACTGCAAAATTAGGGACGGCTAGCGCAGATAGCCCTCGTGTAGCTTTGCGCGAAATTCAAAAACAAACAAACAAACAATTCTTTCATGATTTTGAAGTCGAACATGCAGAGCTTCTTGTGTCAATTGATTAGTGGGCGTGTCTATACTTGATATAGAAACTTTTTACTGGTCCAATAATTGTGATCTCAAAACATACTAAATTATTCAATGTTAGGAGTGTGGCTTAAAATTTTACTTTTAGTAGGTTCCTTAAAATTTTTCGTCATTGCAAAATTACAAGACTAATAATGTTGGATTTCTTTTACTGACCTTGAACTTCAAATCTAGTTATTGAAAACACTTTTTGGAACGAAATATTATTTATAGTTCAATTAACTTACTTCATGTTAATTAAAAAAAAAGATATAGTCTTGAGAAAGTTGTAATATGTGAAACGTATGACGAAATATGTAAGTAGAAAATATTTTTTCAGCGTCTTTAATGTTAAGTCTGTACCTCTCATTACCTTATTTAGGTTTTAATAATCTTCATTACAAACAAATGCAAAGAATTTGGCGTAAATAATGCTGTTCTAAAAGTGCGCACACGACGTGATTCACTTGGTTACCCGTATGCAGAAGGGCAACATCCTGTATAAAAAAAAACATAGTGTATATCACATTTTGTTGCTGCAGTATGTGCAACACATTGGTTGGGAGCACTATGTGCTGCCACACAGCACTGAAAAAATATGTTTGCAGTCCATGTACTGTTCGTTTATCAAAAGCGTACTGTCCAACAACAAAATCAGCTGTGAAACCACACCACACTGTTGTCTTAGTATCATGGAGGTGTGTAGAAATGTTACATGTTGATTAGTTTCCAACCAGATAATGTGTTGACACTTCTATAATAGGTTAAGTGAGTTTCTACAGCCCATAAGATATCAGCATGCTATTGGTAATCGATTACCAGTCTTGTCAAAAACTGCAGCACAAACTGAACATGTTGAATTAAATCCAATTCCTTGAATGCTTGAACTTGATGCAAGGAAACATTCGCAAAGTTGACCAAAGAGCCTTATGAACATAATTCAGACACCGAACGACATAACATGCAGCGCTGCGCAAAGTCTTGTTCTGCGTCAGTATGGCTGACCTCAGCGAAAACTTCGGTAGATGTAGGTGATCTGCCTGTACGTGGCTCATCACAAGTGAAAACACTGTTTCCTCAATTCCTCTATTCACTTTCGCACAGCAACACTGGAACAAGGCCTTCAGCGGATATTAAACACCTTTCCAACACTGGAACAAGGCCTTCAGCGGATGTTATACACTCTACAAACACTGGAACAAGGCCTTCAGTGGATATTAAACACCCTTCCAACACTGGAACAAGGCCTTCAGCGGATATTAAACACCCTTCCAACACTGGAACAAGGCCTTCAGCGGATGTTAAACACCCTTCCAACACTGGAACAAGCCTTCAGCGGATGTTATACAGTCTACAAACACTGGAACAAGGCCTTCAGCGGATATTAAACACCCTTCCAACACTGGAACAAAACCTTCAGCGGATGTTAAACACCCTTCCAACACTGGAACAAGGCCTTCAGCGGATATTAAACACCCTTCCAACACTGGAACAAGGCCTTCAGCGGATGTTATACACTCTACAAACACTGGAACAAGACTTTCAGCGGATATTAAATACCCTTCCAACACTGGAACAAGGCCTTCAGTGGATGTTAAACACTCTACAAACACTGGTACAAGTCCTACAGCGGATGTTATACAGTCTACAAACACTGGAACAAGGCCTTCAGTGAATGTTATACACTCTACCAACACTGTAACAAGGCCTTCAGCTGATATTATACACTTTACCAACACAGAAACAAGGCCTTCAGTGGAAGTTATACACTCTACTAACACTGAAACAAAAACCCCTTCCTCTCGCTCGTGAAAATTATTTTAAAATTATCATGAGATCTGGAAAGGAGCAAAAGTATTTTAAGTTTAATTTTGCGACTTAAAGATTAGTTAAACTGATGGTTAAATGTTGTTTTGAGTAAATGCGTAGGTAAGAGGCCGAGGTAAGTTCGGCAAAGCGATCACAGGGGCATTTGTATGCACGGGAAATATGCGAAGGAGACCACAGTGGCAACCCTAGTTGTGAAATGTGACGATAGCAGGATGTCACCCGCACGATAACCTCAATGTTCATGTTCAATTTCACTTTTTTATGTCATACAGTTTGTGAAATATGACACGCTGAACTGTGAAACTTTCTTTATAATCCCCCTGTATAATGAACTTACACAATACAGTGTTGTTGTTTTTCTCTTTAATTATATAGTATTTGCAGTAGCTGTTTGTAGGAGACAAAATGATAAATTAAATTATGAGATTTCAAAAGCACATGATGGAATTCTGTCTGTTGTCACAGTAATTTTCTATTTTACGATCTTTTTGATTTGAGATTTAGAAATTCGATGTTACAGTAAAAGTATTATGGAACGGGGCGAGTCTTTTCTTATTTTTCGTCGGTCTGTTCTTTCCGTTAAGCCATTTTAGGTAATTCTCAGTTATCACTTTGAAAAAACAAAAATCAGTTGTCATGTCATTATATTGAATTAAAATCATAACATTAAAAAGTTTAGTCTCAAGTTTGAACCTTTAAGTTGTCAAAAAATTACAAATAACTTATGTTTTGAGCGAATTTAATCATAAACTATTTAAGCTGACGCATTTCACACATTTGATATTAGCAGAAATATCAAAGAAAAACGACCCAAAGATATGTTTTAAAAATATGTGATTTTTCAGGGGTTTCTAATAATCCGTGTTTTTTATTATTTTCAGCATTAATTTACCATGTTCACGAATTGAACAAATTTATAATCGTTACATAACATGTTAATCACTTTCCTAGGTCTATTTCGCTTAGGCGTAAACTCCGAACCTTCAATAAAAAATACACTAAGAATTAAGAATCACGTTCTCATACACTTAAAACCAAATTTGTCTTATACTTTTATACATGTTTAAACGTCTGTTTGATTTTTTAAATCTGTTTGTTT